GCACCCTGACCCAGGAGCTATCTGCACTGCTTTTGCGGTGTTGCGAATAGTCTCTCCTGAGCGCAGGCATGACATCGAACACACTCCTCCTGATCAGTTAGATCCCAGCTCCATCCTAATCCCGATGTCAAGGATTGTCGGGAGTACGATCAGCGACGGAGAGTCGAACTGGCTGGAAGGAGCGGCTTTGCGCCTCGGCTCCTTGTTGGGTTGCGAAGGGTTACAGCTGGGGCTTCGGTAGCGGCTTGGGTCAGCTTCAGGCATCAATGTGCGGCTGAGGATTGGCGCCTACTTGCTGATAGCTGTTTCGCTTTGGTACATATGAGCCTCTGACCCAATGAAGGTGGAGGCATGCTGGCGGAAAGGGTCAACGAATTCGATGCATGGGCCTGGCGGATCAAAGGTCGAAGAAGTGAAGCCCTGAACTTGCAAAGTGCGCCCCATTTGCGTTCTTCGCGCCGAGACCTGATCCTCGCCTAAGCTGCAGTTTGAGCCGCCTGGCATCCATCCACTGCCAAAGTCCTTTGCCGCAATAACGACCTCCTTCCCGCGGAGCATGCCAGAGTGAGGCTCACGAGTGCCATGGGCCAAAGTTTCAGGTTCAGGGGTCGGTCGGTACAATGTTCCATCAGACTCAAGGTTTGCAGCTCATGCAGATGGACTACGTACATCAGTTTGGCAAAGGCGTTCGACCAAAGGCTGTCGAAGAAGCCGGGTAAAAGAGCCGAGCGACAGTCTGCCGGTATAATCTCTGATGTGTGAGCATTTCCCAGCTCCATACCTGCAGCAACTCGTGAAGGATCCTACATCTCACCAGAGGCGGCCCTTCGATTTGGAAACATGTGGCGGCCTTATGCACCAACAGCGCTGCAGAGCTTGAGATATTGTCAGGTGTTTGAGATATTTTGAGAAGCATCTAGAAGGCATTCCTCTCCTCAGGCGCTCTTTTTCTTGCGAGAGATCGCATCTGAAAAGCCCTGTACGTCGGCGGATGAGACGAAGACGCTGCCGTCTGACAACATCACGATGCGAGCAGCGACGACGAAATCTCAGGTCTTCTCTAACCACCTCGTCTTGGACGGTCGCATGTGCTGGTTTCAATACCACAGGGTGTCTGATCCCCCATCCACGAGCTCGTGACCACATAGCACGATGCCTGTAGCCCCCAAATCATCAAGAATCGATATCTCCTGAGTGAAGCCGCATTTAAGTGGTCCAGCCCCCGAAAGCTTCGACCAAGTCTGGGCTACGACATCTTTGGCACGGAGGGAAGGATACGCAAGTACGCGAAGGCGGCAAGGGCATGTTTTTAGAACAGATGCCGTATCCTCGCGGTCTTTTGCCGGGTTGAGTCCTGAAGCCCTACAACCCTACAACACTGAACTCTGAATTCCGCTGTGCAGAAGCGGAACGCGGGCATTATCGGAGAGGGTCTGGTGGCCTTCCCTCCCTGTTCCCCGCACCTTGGCACCTTCAATAAACCTGCATTCAGACGTCTTCAAGCTCGCGAGTGCAGTTTGAGAGTCCAGACCTTGAGGGCATTGAGGGGGGATAGTGGTAAAGAACGATCTAGCTATCCCTGGCTTCTTGGTTTGGGTTTCCTTCGAGGGTATTGACGAATTAATTCGAGCGATGTGGGAGTGCGCGCTCGGGTGTGAAGCGGACTAGGTGCAGTGGAGATAAAGAAGACAAGCCGGTTCGAGTTGCAGCTTCTTTTTGAGGTTAAAAGGTGCGTGCAGTGGGATCCGTGTGAGAAGGTTGTCATCCTGTGGCATGACAGTTGGACTGTTAGAGAGAGGACAGTTAGAGAGAGTGCCTCAGCTGCCTGAACCCTGGACCCCTGAGTGCCTGAGCGCGCATCAGACGAAGCAAGCCGAGGCAGCCATACTGCGTCATTCTCGAGGCACCCTTCTCGGGTTGTTGGGATTCCGACGTTTCAGCTTTGTGTAGGAACTTTGCCTTCAACTGTTAGTTTCGCAACAATCTAGGATGTGGTGCTGTCACGAACTACAGGTCTTGAAGAAAAAGATCGCTGGTGTTCCGGAGGAGGACTGTATGGACTCGGCCTTAGAAAGCTCTCTTTGCGGCATGCATCTTCGGCGGCAGGCTGCTTTGGAAAGCCTTTTCTGAGCCTTGATCTTGTTTGCCCATGCTAGAAGACTTCCCCGCATACTAGAATCGTCAAGAAGTCATGCTTCCACTTCCAGCAAAGCGGCTCCACTACCACTTCCAAAACCTCGCCCTTGACCCCAACCTAGATCTGTGGAATGTCTTTGCTTGTGTCTGCATAGCGAGGTCTCACCAGATGTGGTGGCGCTCGTCCTCCCGACAGGGGAGGAGGAGCTGGGGTGCTGAACGGGTTGCAGAGACTGCACAGAGTTTGGTCTTGCAGCAAAACCCTAAACGAAGGATTGTCTGTTCTGAGCAAAGTCTTTGTAAACGGTTGAAGGTTTAGTCCTGAACGGTGCTAGAGCTCTTCATGGTGAGACTGCACACAGAAGGCTTGGAAGGACTTTGGGCCACAAACTTGCACAGTGGAAGGTTCAGCTAGACTGTTGACGTTTTCCGGGTGTCACAGACTGTCCAGGCTTGTCCAAGACGGTGGAAAGGCAGAGCCTACGAAGCAGGCTCCCACAGTTTGAGGTCGGTGTTTGTTGCCCCTCGAAGGAGCTCAGAAGTTGAAGTGACACGCACCACTGAACGCCAGGATGTAGTATAGTAGTATGTACTGCAAGAAACGATGTCGGCCAGTTCAACAGGTCTTGTAACTGGGCCTTGCAAGCACTTCAGGTGTTTTGGAGCCGTCCACATCACGCAAGCCCTAAAGTTGCAGCCGGTTTGCGTGGAACGGAGCCTGCGGATTAGCATCTACACTGCAACTGTCCTATCCCATTGTTTGGGCTGTGCTCGAACACCAGTTGAACTGTTGGAGACGCAGCAAGCCACCTGCTTTCCCAATCATCCCTGGACATCCCGAAGGCCGAAGATCCCGATCTCAAGGCCGTGCCTTTCTGTCAGCGTCCCTCTGAGCCTTCGTGGCTCTTGGCTCGGGGCTCGGGTGGGGGTCTGCAAGATTCCTGTCGCTTGGGAGTTCGATGAACACCGAAAGTGAGGCTTGGGGAGTCTATGTTGGGTGCCATGCTACTAGAAGTTCAGCGCTTCGGCTGATGTGCAGACAGTGATTGTTTTGATTCACAGATCGCGGAACCATAGGGTGAGGCAGTGCAACTAGCCAGGATGTTGCTGCTTGACGGGAACTGGACTTGTTCTCGTGTTGCCCGTGTCGGTCAGCTTTGCGAAAGAGTTACAGCAGTGCGTGTCACGGTGGCTGACCTGTCAGCCAGAGGTCGCATGCGACGACGGATTTAGTGTGGTTGCTGTTCTTCGTTCTGTTTGATGAGCCCGAGGCCACACACATGTTAACGAGATGCGGCCGGCAGATGCTGCGGTCCCAAAAATTGCAGAAGTGGTGGCAAGTTCGGCTGCATTACAGCATGCATGACTGGGTCTGTCAGACTAATACTCGTAGTGCTGGTAGGTCTTTAGAGTAAGTGCGACCAGCTTTCCTGCCTGACGTTACATCAGCAGTGCAAGACCTGTGCCGAAGTCCTTGGTTGGTAGGACCGTTGCCCAGTGCGAATTGCGGACTTAGACTGAGATGTGTGTGTGTGTGTGAGCGTGCGCATTATCGGACTTCTCCCGTTTGTAGGTCACGTTGGACGACTCTTGTGAGGGCCTGTGAGGGCCTGTAGAACTGATCGTGCCGTTCGAGCCGCCATTTGGGAATCCCGCGGCAGCATGACGAAGGCATTGTTGAAGCAGGGGTATGCAGAAGCAAAAGCTCAGACACAATGTGCATACTGAACACCAGGTCCAGTGTAAGACCCTGAAGACTTGAAGAACTTGAGCTTGCACCTAAAACCCAGTCTTCAAAGAGCAGGCGCCAGCAAGACACGATTCCCACTCAGTTCGACCAGGGATCCAGGCTTATCTGCACCCAAAGCCCGAAGACCAAAGAAGCCCGAAGAAGCCCAAAGCCATCTCCACGCCACCTCGGGTGGAGTTTCTCGTGCCATGGCAGAGAAGAAGTCACGGTGGGGCAGGACGCTGGCCTCCACTCTAGGGCATTCTTCAACTTTGGCACAGGGCTGCGCGTTCCTTATCATGTACGGAACCCGAGAGGTCAGAATTTAGACATGCGGCCATGTTCCAGGTCGGAAAGTAGTCGTAGCCAATGTTTCATGCTCACGCTTCGTCTGTTCTGCACAGGCACGGGGAGGCGATGGATAGATCTCGACAGCTTCGCCAAACCCGAAAACTGTACCTGCGCAGGAAAGAGAAGAAAGTCGAACAGGCACTGGGTTGGGATGCTTCGGGTGTTGTGCTATGCAGCCGTTGAGGTTGCATTGCTCCTGGAAAGTTCGTTGCCCGACAAATCTCGTCCCGAATCACCGAAGCCAAACCCTCAACCCCAAAACCAGCATTGGACCTTCTGCTCCCCACCGCTGCAGAGGCTACACCGGTACTCCAAGTCCGCCACCGAGACCTGGAACTACCGGGGGCTGTTGCCGTCCTGTCCTGCGCCTGGTTTTTTGCAGAGCTTTCATGGCCTCTAAGCAGATGTAGAGATCTTGAACTTGGAAAAGTCTCGAGACCAGAGGGATGCAATGGTCATCTCAGAGCCTGGTCCAGTGTTCAAGACACGAGGGGTAGGCGTGCAGGCCCGGAGACGTCTGAAGACGACCCCCATCTTGCGTAGTTGTTTCGCTCTCTTTCCTCCACGTGATAATCTAAAATCCTTCACTTCGATTTGTACAACACTTCTCATAAATAAACGTTGGCATCTTACGCGTCTCCTTGAAGCTTTGGCCAGTCTTCGGTGTTTTCACCCTCGGGATGAAGGATGCGGTTTTGTGGTCCTTCTGCACATCGGGTATCATCGGACACAGACAGTTTTTCACACGGGTCACACGGGGCATGGCCTCCCGTGCCGTGCTGAGGCTCGAAAACTACTTCACCGTGGAAGAGTGCGAGAGATACTTCAAGGATCGGCCGAGAGATCCTACGAGCTAGCAAGTTCGAGGTTCATGCTCGCGCAGACAAGGGGATGGACCTGCCATGCCTCGATCGACCAAATGAACAGTTGTAAGACCGTACTGGCCAGGTCCTCACCAACGACATAGACTGGCGACATCAACAGATCACTGTGACCAGTGAGGACCTCAGATTGGTGCTCAAAATCTCGGTTTGGCAAGATCAGATACCATGCACGAGCCGTGCACCCTGCAGGTGCCTTCGTATGACTGCACCATGGACCATGGAACATGTCTCATGACACATCCCAACTTCCCGCAACCTGATGGTCTTCGAGTGACATCCCTTTGACTCTGAGCCCTCATCTGTCACTAAGCAACAGACACCCGACCCGCAGCGTCTCTCCCATAACGGTTTGCATTGGACTCCACAGGATCGAAACACCATTTTCAGGTCAAGAGAGCGGCGACCGAGTGACCGGGGATGAGCCACGCCGCACTCTCTTCATGTCGGACCCAGGCTCGGCAGTTCGGTCTGGCTGGGGTGCTACGGGAGAGTCGAGTTGGGGCTTCCTAGGGTCTCTTCCTGGTGCGCTCTTTGGACTATAAGTCAACTTGGCCCAGGACAGACTTGCGTTCGTTCTAGAGGCCGGAAGGAAGCTTCTAGACAGCAAGGCCGCATGACACTGTTTCTTTTCCAGCGGAGTGGGATCCCTGTGCCTCAGGTGGAAAACCAAGAACGGGAAGCAGTGGGGAACACGGATCCTAGAGCACACGCTGTGGGAGGTATTTGCTACGAGTACTCGGGCCGTGAGAACGTCGGACAGCAATGGCATCCTGCCGTCCTGGAGATCAAGAAGAAGGCGAGATGCAGCTCCAACCACGGCAGCCGAGGGTTCCTGGGTCTTCCTGAGCAGTGCAGAGCGACTGATATGCTCCTCACATCTCCTGATGTTTTGCATGGGATGACATGATGGCCCTGTTGTGCGGCTTACTGCACAGGAGGTAAATTCAAAACTCAGCAAGGCCCTTCCCGCTCTACTGACCTATATCAACTCTAATGTAGACCTTGAATCCATGAATCACTGGCCGAAGCCTTCAAGCCACCGCATCGAAACAGCCACGCTCTAGAAAGGCGGCTGGTCTCAGGGGGCACCACCTGTCCGAAAGCACAGAAGCCCAACCTGGCAACCGACCAGAAACTGTAAGACCTCGGAGGCAGAGGAGGGCCTGGCAGAGTGCGGTCTGCCTCAGGCCTCGGCATGTGGGGGAGTATGTCGAGTTGCGAATGCGGGTCCCCAAATTCGCTTCCGAAGTGCACATTTTGGGCAGGTTGTGTTCAACTCCGCGCAGATGAACCGCTACGACTTTCCTCGCCACACGTCGTGCACTTGGAGACTTCGAAAATGGTACGAGACTTCTGACGACAAACCACGAATTCAGGACGTTGGCCTGACCCTGAAGCCTTATGTCCGTGCTTTATTATTCGGCGTAGCTCAGACCCGAAGGTTCTGGCTGTGTGCAAAGCCACTTACCAAAAACAGAAGCTGCGCGAAGGCTCGGTATGCATGCCGACAACGAGCCGGACTTGGACAGAGACTCTCCCATTGTTTCGGCTGCTTGGCCTGCACTGCAGGACAAGCTGTAGCGTTGTGAGCCGTGGACCTGAACTGGGATAGCCTTCATTTCAGTGGACATTCCTTGATGTTATTATTTTTTGGCTGGCTGCGCCTCTTTGTAGAATCCGGCACCTAGCCCAGGTCAGCTTCGGTGCAACCAGAGATTTCGTCATTCAGGCCGTCCACATGTCCATTGTTGTCTACCAGTGCCGTGAACCGCTGATGGTTTTCCAAGGACAAGGGCGACGAAAAGCTGAAGTGGGAGCTTTCCTGAGTCGATTGCCAATTCAGCCATGATGCAGCCTTGCCCGTTCTTGGGGTGGGTGGTTTTGTCGACCTGGTCCCTGAGCTTGTTAAGGGGTGCTGAGGTTTGTCGTCCCGTTTAAGGAACAGAGCAGTCATTCTCGTAGCTTACAACTTGTTCAGCGCCTGTCACGTCCCAAAGTCAAGTTCTAGGTCTCGTGAACCCCAAGGTGATCTCACTTGCAGATGGCTCTTGGTTCGTCATGGGCTTGAGCCTTATAGAGCCTGACACAGCTGCACAAAATCTCCGACAGCTAGCGCTCCGTTGCCAGCCAGCCAGCCTTAACTCCTTGTGATGGTTCGCCCATCTTGGTGTGGGTCGGGGAAGGAGTAGATGTGTGTGCGAATGCAAGCAAGGCGGCGCGATGCAGCAACGCTACCTACATGGCGTGCCCGTGCCTCGGATCCTTCTGATTCTTCCTACTGCAGCATCCACAGTAGTTGATGATGCATCGCGCCTATGTTCTTCCCGGAAGCGCGTTAGGTACCCTCAAACGCAGCCTCAGCCAGCCGAGCTCCGCAGGCCGCACGGTGGCATGCCCGGCATCAGGATCAACCTCACCTTTCGGGCCCTGCCCTCGATTCCATGTGAAGGCAGCACAATCTGTCCCTGGAGGGCCCCCAACAAAGGATCTTTCGATCTTCGCCCAGTTTTCCCGGTTTTTGTCTCAGAGACGCAGTCATCCGGGGCCTTGTCCTTTTTGCTTGGACAGGATTGAGGCAAAGGATCTGATTAGGATTCCCGGGTGTACCGCGTGTATGCAGAAAGCGGCCTGCCTTTACACTTGTGGTGGCGTCGAATCATTCTTGTAGGGGACTTCTCGGGTCGATGGCCCCGTCTGCATGCTTTCCCTGTCCCAAACCTTTAGTCTGCGGTTTGCCAGAAGACTTCAGTTTTCGTCCATGTGAGAGAATGTGAAAGTGCCACACGGACCCTCCGTGTTTGTGGCTGGGTCTTCGTGTCAGTCTCTCTCTCTCTCTCTCTCTCTCTCTCTCTGTGCGTGTTCCTTTGCGTCTAACTGTCTGCCTTCTTGCCTGTCCGCGCCTGTGTCTGCCTTTCCGTACATATGCATGTGTGCATGCATGCAGGTACTGTATGTATACAGACAGTTAGGTAGAACCAGGTAGATAGAAGGATAAACAGACAGTCAGACAGAAAGATGGATACATGATACATGGATAGATACAAAAGCACGTCAATGTCCGTGAGGTATGTATTCCGCGGACTCCGGCCCCTTGCTGATCTCGTGGGCCCCATGAGACCAAGATTAAGCAGGACGGCCCGGTTTGATCGGATCATCCGGAGCCCCACCGTCACCCGTGCAGGCCTATGCGTGCAGCCCTCCAAGACTCCGGCTTGCCCATGTCTATGCCAAGCCAAGTCAGCAGTCTTGTGTGTACCCCAGCCCTAAAACCTGATCAGAAGCCACCCGACACTGCCAGCTGAAGCACTCGATCAAAGCCATGCAAGAGACGGCGCTGGCCAAGCTGCTCCGCAGCGAATCTTTGGCGGCAGTGCTGCGATGGCACGAGCAGGGTCAGAAGAGGCCGGCGGTCCGTGGTCTCGGGGTTCCTTTCTATGACTTGTCCTTCCACTGTCATGGGCAAGTATCAGCGCTCCCTTGGTGAATCAAGGAAAGCTCTACAACAGCTCTGGAAGTTTGTGCTGTTCTCCTTTCGCGTCGGTTTGCTGGGCCCTCTCGCGGTTGTCCTCACAGCTACAAGAGAAGCTGAGGCAACAAATCTTCGTAGGATCCCATCTGTTCCTTTTTTTGCTTCTCTCTCTCTCCCTCTCTGCTGCAGTCGAATGCCAGACTCACTATAATTCCAGCATTAGACAGATAAGGAGAGAGAGTGAAAGAACGCGATTCTTCAAGACCTCAGTCGGAAGCAAGAGGCTCTCGATTGGCCTCGAACTGGAGTGCTTCCTTCCTGACCTGGGCGCCCTGGTGCCCGATCGTCTGGTGCCTCTCCGAGAGCCCCAGGAGCCCTCTGGCTTTCTTTTGGACTTCCTTGCGTTTCACTTGGAGGTCAGCACAAGGTGGTTCGTGTTGAGTGTGGGGGGTGGGAGGTCGGCTTTGCTGCATCTTGCAGCCGAGGCTCTTCCGGTTGGTGGCCCGAGTCCTCTCGGAGCGCGTGGCCGAGCTCGGTGCTGAGAAGTGCCGCTCCGGAGGCCCAGGCCTGGTCTCCGCCGAGGCCTGCGACTGGGGCCGGCTCTGGACGACCACGGCGGACGGCTCCATTCAGCCCCAGGGACAAAATCCCTTCCCGGTGGAGCTGGTGTCGAAGAGGATGGGCTTCCAAGAGTTCGACGTCACCCTGTTCTGTGACATGGCACATGCCCTGCGCCGACCGCCTTTGTGTGCAGCAACCAACGAGTCTACAGGCGTCCACGTACACCTTGGCTGCCACCCGAGCTTCTTCTCTGTGGAGGAGGTGGCCGCTATCATGAAGGTTTATTTGCGCTTTGAGCCCACGATCAATGAGCTCCTGCTGCCGGTGACGCGTCAGCGCAACCGCTTCTGCAGGGATCTGCGCGAGGTTCTGGGCCGCGCCCAGGGCTTGGGGCCTGGGGCCTCGGACGACGCTCTTTTTGCGAAGATCGATGCTGCCGTGGCCTTCGTTCGCACTTTGAGCCCCGAGGCTCGGGCCGCCTGCCTCGAGGGTTCCCAAGTGCGGCTCAAGAAGGATGAGCTGCTGCTGGCGCTTTTGGAAGAGGGCGGCCTTTTCCGGCTCAAGCGACCTTTGCAGGCTTTGCAGGTTTCGCAGCATGCGCAGAGTGAGCAGGGTTTGCTGCTCCCCGCCGGATTGGCTCTTGTGGAGCTGTCCTTGGCAAGCGGCCAGCTGCTGTGGAGGCCCCCGACTTGTCAGGACCTCCAAGCTCTTTGGGGCAAAGAGGGCGATGCTCAGACTCCGAGCAACGGCGGCGACGGCCTCGCCTAGCCCCCAACGCCTTGGACGGCCTTGGAGAGCTTAAGCGACGACGCTGAGGTGCTTGCGTGCTTCCGTAAGCCAGACGACGTACCTACCGAGAGCTTAGAGCACTGGCTCTTCAGGGACTTGCTGATCATGGAGCGCCACGGTACACGCTATTGCAAGCTGAACATCATGCGGATTTCCCAGCCAAGCGAGCGGGCCACTATCGAGTTCCGTCAATTTCCAGGTGGTGACTTCAACCAGCCACTGCTGATCTGGGGCTGGGTAAAGTTCCTAGGGCTTTTGGTGACCCATGCCTGTGCTTGTGCACACAGCGGGACCGGCGCAGAGGTGCCGACAGAAGGCTCTGAAGAGGACTGTGGCTCACACGACTGAGGTAGACGTAATTGGAAGCTAGAGCTGTATGTGGCATGTTTTTGCGTATGAGAGGAAAGCACCCTCGTCAGGAGCTTAAGCGGTTCCTTCAGCTTTCTACAGATAGCCTTCTTGTCGCCTGGTTCCGGGATCTGCGAAACCGCCTGCCGAAGGCAAGTGTTTCATTGTGCCTCGGCCAAGCTAAGCCTTACCTGCGGCAGATGAAGATGCTGCCGGCTGGCTACTGTAGCATTTTGTGGCGGTTCAGTGTGAGGTTGTCGGTCCTTGATTCCTTGATTTCATAGACGGGATTGTTGAAGCACAAGGCTTCCTCCAGGTTGAAGGCACATGTCCCGAAAGCCTTTTGGGTGATGCTGCTGACTGCTCCCGCAACGGTCGGTCTACCTCTCAGTCAGCAACAGACTCTGTAGGACATCGCTCTCGCTGATGCTTGGGATCGCCTTGAAGTTCAGCATACCGAGAGCCTTCTCCAAACAGCTTGACCCTCAGGGCTTTAGGGATGAATTCAAGAGGGAGATAAACGTAGAGAGCACGACAGAGCTCTAAGTTCTAAGCCCCCATCACTGCAGGCAACGCATGAAGAACGAGTGGAGCCGCCTTTGGGTCGCCTGGACACACGCTGCCGGCCAGCTTCCCGAGGACGTCCCACGATACCACAAGAGGCTGCGGAAAACAAGGCATGCAGGATCATGCAGGCGTGAGGAAGCTACCTATCAGGCACTACCACGATGTAGCGAGTCGATGGTTGATGCTGAGTCTAGCTTGCTCTGCGGAGCTTCTCCGTTTGAATGAGGTTTAGGTTCTGCGCACTTGATCAAGTTACTGGCGCCTATAGAAAGTATGATCCCTGAATGCTGGGACTAGGCTCCTTGTCTCTGTCTTAGTCTTTCTCGCTCTTATCGTGAAATGTGCATTTGGACGACGTTTTTTGTCAGATGTATAGACAAGATTACACAAGCAAATGAATAACTAGATTAACATGAAAGAGAAGCATCAAGACGCACACGCACACATTGTATTCACTACGCATTTTTTATCTGGAAAACATGCAACAAAAAGCACCTAAATCTATGCTTATCAGGTTGCTTACGACAAATACCGTAGACGAAGCGCAAGCCCAGAAGAATCACCAAAGGCACACAGCGCCCTGCTGCGGCGCCCAAGTCCCCTAGGCGATCTGACTCTTCAACGCCCACATGGCTTTCCCACAAAACACGAAGAACTTGAGCTTGGGCCCTCCAACCTATAGCTCGCGAGTACTGCACGCCTTGGTTATCCTCCGGCCCTCCGGTCCCCGAGCCCCCCGCGGAGGACGTCTCAGCGTCTGCAGCAGCGGTCCTGCGGTCCGCACGTGCCTGGCGGCGGCTCTTCCAAGCGGCCACAGGCATGAAGGCGACGCCTGGGATGCGAACAAAAATCTTTAAGGCAAGGGTAATGTAATAGATGTAATAGTAAGGGTTGTATAAGGGTTCTATACTGTAATAGGCTGTAAGGGTTACCATAAAGGTTTGCATAGTTAAGGGTTGCTATGATCATACGCACGGTTATCCGGACTGAAGTATGTGTTGTGGAGTTTATGCTGGATGCGAAAGGCCTCTCATGTTGTTTATCCCCCTCTGTCCCTCTCTCTCACTCTCTCCCTCCCCCTCTCTGTCAAACTCTCTCTCTCTCTCTCTCTTTCTCTGTGGCTCTGTCTTTTCGCGAGTCTTCATGAACAAAATTCTGTCTTTGTGTGAGTCTTCATGAGCAAAGCCGGCGGGGAACTTGTCCGCACAAGAAGTCCATCTGCGGCGGGAAGGTTGCACGGAGGCCGCCGATTTTTGCTAATCTTCCAGTGTTTTCTTAGAGCCACACCAACCTTGTGAAGGCATGCGCTGGTATTTTCCATGCTTTTCACGTTTGGGATTTCGGAGGGTTTTGGATGCGGGACACTGCAATGTCATCCGTCAAGGCTCAAGGGGTAGATGGAGTTGTCTTCCATTTTTTGCTTGTTATCGGAGTCTCTTTCAACAACAAGATTTTTTTTTCGAATTGGCAACTTTTTGAACTTGTGGGGTTCATCTCAAGATAAAGAGCCGAGCCGAGGCGATTTTTCCGTCGACGGATCCCGTCTGGCAGCCTCTTTCCCAGCGCCTCAGCGAGTGTGAAGTGTACATGCAGCACCTGTACATGGCCTTGGCACAACACCTGAGATGCCATGTGCGATTTTTGCGAGCGGCGGAGGAGGTGAGTAGATTCGGTTCGCTCTCCACGGTTGTGTACACTGTGCTTTCAGATGGCCGCCTGCGTAGAAGCAGCACGGAGATGAGAGAGCTGCAAGCTACCGTGCTTGAGTCTTTGGGATGGAGCGCATGCCCATCAGAACTCTCAGCCGAAATTGCACAATTAGGCAGGCAAGGTGCGGAGCTCACTCTCGACTACACGAAGAACCTTTTGCAGCAGTGCGAGACGGCCTGTGGGTCATCAGCTTCAAGGCAACTCTGCGAAATCCAGGACGATCAGCCCTTGCAGAGATCGGAGGCTTGGACAGGGATTCAAGAAGTCAAAGAAGGAGCATCACGCATGCCACATTTGCACGTATGGCGCGTGTACCATGAGCTCTGCAGTTGGCTGCTGCTTCCGCGTGTGGACGAGGTGACGCACGTTTGGGCAGGCTTGGCCCAGCGTGGCTGGGACTCTGCCCGTGTGGATGCTCTTTGGGTTCGGATACAATCACACACTCATCCCGCTGCCCGAGAGAGAGCAATGGCTTGGTTTAAAGAGAGGTCTCTGCGCGCGAAGAAAAGCAGCCAGGAGTACACCCGAGCCTTGCTCCCGAGTCCCCTCTGACCTCATACTCCCCTAAACCCTCTGAGACTCTACCTCACAGGCCCAAGCCTCACAAGAAAAAAACCGTCACCTCCCGGTCGCATGGATGATTTCAACCCATTTCAGCAAGATGTTTGGGCCGAACATTCGCTCCTTGACCAAGGGGTTGAAGTTTGTCGAGGAACTGCAGGCACACTGTATATGTGCGTATAGTCCAGTGATATATATATATACACGCAACTGAGTCTGTATCGATGCCCACACAAACATCCAACATCAGAAGCTTAGCATGGTGCGTGGATGCGCGAAGTACGATGAGGCCATTCTTCGGCACGCCGCTTTTCCACAAAAATCTCGAAAGCAGCAGCAAGCCGCATATGGCACAATGATTAACCAGCACAAATAAACGAGTGAACCACCCTCCCAGCTGCAGCTACGATTTTCCTGGGCACGGCTCCAGCTCGAGGGTTGGAATCGAGGAAGAAAGCTGGTGGCTGTGGATTCGAGTTGACCGTTGTCTGCCGAACTATGGACCTTAGTTCGACTCCAATCGTAATTGATCCTTCCACGTTCAAATCGATTCCAATACCTCCAGGATGCAGAGACAGAGAACTCGAACTCCAACTTGGGAATGGTATGTCGAACCTGACAATGGACTCCAACCTGAGCTATTCCAACAAATTCAGAAATTTGACCAGTCACCCAATTGTAGCCCTGGTGAGTGGGTTTTGGCCGTTTTCTGTGGGTGCGCACATGAGGACCGCACAATGCTGGAATACTCTTTAAGGTGGCACACAAGCGGCATGAGATCGAGATCAGCTCGGGCTTTGGAGTCTTCAAAGGTTGAGAAGGGTAGCCTTTGGTTGCCGTGCAGGCCTGTTTGACGTGATTCCACACAGTGACAGCAGGACGGTGCCCCTTGACAAGTGCGAAACTGGCCACACCACGACACGGACAGCTTGCGAGGCCGACTTTTGTGGGTAAGGTAGCAGGGTGCAAATGTGCACAGTGCAGAGAGACTTGCGGTTTTCCCAAGATGTCAGGCCAGTGGCGCTTCTGACGGCACGGCTTTGTTGCAAAGCCCTTCTGCAAAGAATCAGGGTTGCAGCAGCTGGTGAGCAGGGCAGGCCACAGCCTGAACACCTTAGCCCCAACAACCTCAGACCCCAAGTTCGAATCCAAGAAAGCGCCCCGCTACGGCTGCAATGCTTCAGCGAAGCTCTTCGCTTTCAGGGCTCCGCCCGAGACCGCACCCCTTCGTAGGTGTCCTGCCCATTGAGAAACCCCATAATGTAGTTGCTCTCGAAAGTCAACACTTGGCATGCGGGTTTGGGCTTCAATCGGCTTAGTGCAGTTTACTGTGTTGTGGTTGTGCCGATCGTTCCGTGCTGAAAGCTTCCAAAGAGGGACGAGTTTGATGGTCACACATGATGTTTCCCAGAGGAGGTACGCCCCAACGGAACCATCGTTGCGATACTGAAATCTCGCTGTTCTAAGCGGGAAGCTTCCTACTGCTCCTCCTGCTCCTGCCGCCACTGCCACTGCCGCTGCCACACCTGCTCCTGCTCCACTCCCACTCCCACTGCTTCTCCTACTCTCCTACTCCCACTCCTCCTCCTACTCCTCCCCCAACTCCCAGTCCCACTCCGACTGCTGCTGCTGCTGCTGCTGCTGCTGCTGCAGCTTCGACTACTGCGACGACGACGACGACGACTACTACTACTATTTCTACTTCTACCTCTACCTCTACTTTTACTTCTACCGGCGACGACGACCGCGACTGATACTGCTGCTGCCACGTCGACGACGACGGCGACGACGACGACTGCTAGATCCGACAGCGACTACCACTAGTTCCGACGACGACTGCTGCTGTCAGGTGCACCACTACCATCACCACCACCAGCAGCAAAGGCTAGCTTACATACGTCTGCTGCTGCCGAATAGTTGTGAGGATCATGTTACTTGCCTCCGGACTCATCGTTTGTATCCCTTTTAGTACAGGGTTTGCGCTCATGGTGAATGTCGAGATTGAGTTGGTGAGTGGCACTTGTGCTGATGATGCTGGTTGGGACGACGATGGCCATGACGAGGGTGATGATGGCGATGCTTATGACTATGATGGTAATGACGATGACGATGATGATAACCATGATCATGAAGAAGCAGAAGAAGACTATGATGAATGATAAAGACATCAAAGGGGTTAATTTGTTGCTGGCAGTGGGGGCGGTGCTGATGATGAGAACACAACCACGAAAAGGCCTTTGTCATCGTCAGCATCATGAGAATCATCGTCATCCTCAACTTGTCATGATAGTACGGGCTAGCATGGTTGATGCCCTGAGCAGCGTTGCATCCCTTGTCTTTGCCAAAGCCGGATGACTGCAGCGGAGCGACAAACATTCTTCGAGACCAGGGTTTCTACTTCAGGTCTAGGTTGTGCTGCGGGATCGCTTGAGCTTGAGAGGAGAGAGATTTGGGCGTCGTGCTTGTGCGGTTAGAGCTCTTGTGACAAAGAGTCAGCATTTATGCCGGACATAAATAAGCGTACAAGGTCTGGGGCAGCGCGTGTTGTTGGGTGTAGCACCTAAAACAGCATCCCGAACTTCAGCCCTGGTGTACATTTTTACACGTTGCGAGTTTCATGCAGACTTGGGTTGCCTTCGAGACATCCCTGTAAGCCTGCTGCAACAGCTACTCACAACGCAGAAATTACAGACGCTCAGCACATTCAACTATACAATGGTGTTGCGACACTAAGCCGAGCAACTCACCGTGCCGACTTGTCTAAATGCAGTTCCATTGATGTAGAGACACGGATAATCATCCGAGCAATATTACTACATCCAGCAGTCGGCGCATTGATACTGAAGAAGCTTTATGATTTTCGAAGCCTCGGCCAGCATGAGGCATGCTAGGTGCTTCAGCATCTAGCCCCGAAGGCTAAGTCATTCATAACAGAGTCCGCACGTTTTGGCCATGGCCGCTGCTGAACGCAACAGCGATGAGGCCGCCTGTCACATCTGCTCAAAGCCTGCATGTAAAGCGCTTCCGCAAAGGCGTTGCTGTGGCTTTGCATCTGTCCTGTATGGTACTGGTAGCCACGGATCCAGCAGACGCTGGTGGCAAGACGATGCATGCTGCCAGGTTTGCAAGCGTAGGTGGCCGAGGTTTGAGTTTTCGAGAGATGGCCGAGGTTTGGGGTTTCGAGCATGCCGCAGGCCATCCAAAACGACTTGGACCGGACGTTTGCCGACATACCCATGGACGGGGACCTGGCCATGCATCCACAAATCTGCAAGTGTGTATTCATGCAGGAATAATGCTAGGAGCTGAAGCTCCATGCAGCAGCTGTCACTTTGCTATCATTCCCATGCATGATTCTGAATCGTGCAGTGTACTTGGGTACGCCGTTCTCCGATCATGCCCAGGCTCCTGCCCCCCGAATCCCTCAAACAAGCTCGAACCCTTATGGTACAGTCGATAAAGCAAGCCCTAGGCGCTTTAGGTGCCAGAGGTACGGTATATGTAGAGTGCAGGGGTCAGAGTTCAAGCTTTGTTGTGGATGGCCGTGAGTTGGCTCCACGACACTTTGTGCCTCGACTTTGCATCCAGTTGTGTGAGCCCACCCTTCAGCTCGGTCCCAGTTGGCACCTCTGAAGCCGCAAATCTTCAGCATCCTCAAGGCCGTGATCCTCGAGACTTCGGGGCTCGGGCTTAGGCTCAGTCACGGTGATGCTTTCCACGGCACTGTCTCGTAGGAAAGTTTGCAGAGGCGAGGTCGTAAGCCGAAAGGCCACCGTGAGCCTTGAAACCCTTCGGTATGGTGGAGGAGGCATCCGGGGCCTTGTCTAAAGTTCGATTTCAGGATCCTCGGGGCCAGAGTTCGCGGTGTTGGACTTGGGGTCTCGTTCTTGGGTCTCGTTCTCCAGGATTAAGGCTCTGGAGCCACGCAGGCAAGCATCACACCTCCATTATGTGAGACACTGCGCACCCAAAATTCCGTGTCCTCCATGCACAGAAAACCGTTTTGATTCCTGTGATGGTCACCCTGTTATGGTGAACCCCTGTCAGAGACCTTTGACCCGTATGTAGCTTTGCGAAAAGGCCCGCCCCCCCCGGCACGAGTACACGACGGAGCTCTTGGCCAGTCCGCGGCTCGGGCCAGGACTTTGCGGCACACGATCCAGATATCGGCTACACGCAGGGCATGCCGGGTGCTCAGGCTTTCGGCGGTGCGTCGGGTTTCAGGTTGAAGACTGGGTATACCTAACATTACGTTGGAGAGCCAACAAGACATGAACATGTCAGCGAGAAAGTCTTCAAGTCTTCACCTCCTTCTGCATACTGGGATGTGCATTCAGAAAGCCGTTGGACATTCATGGCATTCGGCATGACTTATAACTAGTGGCTGGATCAAGCACTGCCAGAGGAACTATGTCGCTGCTGCGCTGGTCGTGAAATATCCAGAGCGGGCAGACACTGCGCTCGGTGCTGAGAGTCGTTTTCACCGGTGTGATTCGTCGAGGAGATTTACAGGAGCGTTGACAGGCCTATCTCTGTCGATCCACCTATCTGTCGGACTGTCAGCTTGTCTGTGCTGTATCGATATGAACGCAGGCAGACCAAATGCACACATACATACGTACATACATACATACATACATACATACATACATACATAGATACATACATACATACATACATACATACATAGATACATGCATACATACATGCATACATACATGCATACATACATACATACATACATACATACATACATACATACATACGTATCTACATACCTACATACATACATGCATGCATACATACATAGATATA